AAATGATATATATATATATATATATATATATATATATATTATAGTTTTTAAAAAATGTAAAACTAAATAATACTTAAGATTAAATAACTAAATAAATGTATTAAAAATTAAAATTATTTAAATAAAATCATCTAAGAGCACAGGACTAAAGCAGAAAAAAAATATATAAAAATGCAACAATATTTCTGAAATATTTTCCAAATAATACTGTCCATAAACTAACTTATAATTAAATCATTCACAGTATAAATTGGTTATTTATGTGAGAAAATATATAGCAGCCTTTTACATTATTAGAATGGCACATATCATATTTAGGGTTCCAGTGGCATCTACAAGACTGAAAGTACCCTGCATGTACAGTGCAATAATATACATACTGCATAACACAAGTTTATGTTTAACGTTACCACTATTTAACAAATTAGACAAAGAGGGAGTCAAACAGATTTATGGTCTTCTGCAACTTATCAGAGAGTAGAAACTCTTAAGCTTATGAAAGTGAGGGATATTACAACATACATATACACTTTAAAAACCTTAATATGTTCCACAGTAGACTTTAAATAAAAGATGGTGTGTGTATCTTTACCTGCATCCCAGGCAGACTGCCCTGCACTGGAGAATGAGCCATGGCGTAACTTTAACCACTAAAACTGGCCAGCAAGTCAGCAAAAAACACGGTTTCCGGACAAAATACAGCTAATGCACCCCTGGATCCCGTTTGCCCGAGTTTAATGCGGTCTTAGATGTTTTACAGCTGGATAAATGGAGCAAAGAGCATCCACTGGACAGAAAGTGCATCTGAAAGATGACTGGCGTGAAAACCTCTCCTCCACTTCCGCAGCTTTAATGAGAACCGCTGCTCTTCCTCGCGGAAATCACCGCAAACGCCAATCAAAACAGCGTCGATCGGACTGATCGCGGAGTTTCAGTCGATGTAGCGTGCGATCAGGTGTTGAAACGCTCTTTTGATGACTCCTGGAGTGGGTTTTGGAGGGTCATGCAGGCCAGATCGCTCGTCAAGAGTTGATGGTCCTCTTTGCGCAAACGGATTTCCAAAAC